CCCCAAAACCCCAAAACCCCATGAGGTCTTAATAATAACCAAATTTAAGTTGAGAAATCATCTTAATAATTTATTAAATTAATTGAGTCTAGTATTGAACATAATGAAAAAAGTCAGCATTAATGATTTCTTTGATGATGAGGAAGATGTCGTCCCAATAAGCTAGAGAGTAATAAAATATAAAAATTAAGACTTTGGATATAGTAAGAAACAAGTATAGAGAAAAAATCAGACCATCTAAAGATGTAGCATAAACCTCAAAAAGAGTAAGATTGCTCATAATATTTACATTTATTAGAGAAGTTTAAATAATGGATAAATCAAAAGTACTTGAGAAATAGAGGTCAGATTCGAAGATGAAATCTGACTCTAAGAGTGATATAGTAAATTTATCAACTTCAACCACAGCTCATACATTGAACAGAGTTAAATCCCAATAAAATCATGATTCTGTTCCTAACTCAAAGAACGAACAAAAGAAGAGGTCAGTGCAAAATCATGTGAAAATTGATGAAGATAAGATTGGTAAAATAAAAAATAAAGAAGATGAAGTTAACAGTAAGGAAAATAAACTAAGAAAAAGAGACTAAAAAAATAAAAATAAGAAAGACAAATTGAAGAAGAGAGTTTCGAAATTCTTTGATGATGAGGCTCAAGAAGAAGATGATGAAGAGGTACCAGCTAGATAGGCTAAACGTAAATTTAAAAGATAAATATATTACATTTTAGAAAGTGATTTCTACACCAATGAGTAGCTCAAGGTAAAAACTCAAAGAATCAATGAGAAATTTCTAGATAATCTATTGGATAAGTATAAAGACAAAGATGGAGAGGGTGATGATGAGATGGAATACGACGATGAAGAATGTGGAGATGAGTATGATGAAGAAATTCTGCCTAATGATATGACTCATGAAAGAACTAGTCTTGATAACACCTTGATAAAATAAAAGAAGTTAACTACTCAACAGAGAATAGATAGTATAAAAGAAAACATCCAAAAAAAAGTTTAAATTCTTGATAAAATCTAAAATGACTTTGATGCTTAAGAAGCTAAGTGAAATTAGAAAACTGCCTAAGTAAAAGTGAATGCTGAGTAATAAGTTGCATAGCATGGTATGCTTCCCTCAATTATGGATTCCAAAATTTGGAAGGTAAAATGTACAATAGGAATGGAAACTTAGCTTGTCGTCTAACTTATAAAGAAAGCCTTCGATTTTTTAAATCATGAAAAACCATTTATGATACTCTCTATTTTCAACTGTGAGAAATCTAGTGGATGCATCTATATTGAAGCTTACAATATGTCTCATGTAAAGTAAATCGTAAATGGAATGTCAGGAATCTACCAGAAAGGTATAGAAATGATTCCTTACAAGGAAATGACTCAACTCCTAAAAGTCTGTTCTGAGATTGATGAGACCTCATTATAACCTCATCAATGGATAAGAATAAAGAGTGGACCTTACAAAGGGGATCTAGGAATCATAGAACATGTTGAAGGTAGTTAAAGAGCTCTAGTAAAATTAATTCCCAGAATTCAAACCACAATTGGATACGATGGTGAGACAAAGCTTAATTTGATTATTAAATAGTAAGATTTGAAAAATCTTGAGCTTGTCTCTGGCTCTACTGTTCCTCAAAAGCTATTCAATCCTCAGCATGTCAAAAATGAATGCATAAAACAGAGATTTGAGCCATTAGGAAAGAGTTTCTTTATATGGAAAGAACAGATGTTTAGAAATGGATTTCTCTACTTGTATTTTAAAGTTAACAAACTAGTCTACGACAAAGTAGGACCTAGACTTGAGGAAGTTCAAAGATTCTAAAAAAATCAGAATTCACTAGATGATTTTCTTTCAGATCAGGATGAATGGGATATAATGGATGATAAGACTCTAGTAAAGACTATAAGAAATGATGGATTATCATAACTTGAAGTTGGAGACAGAGTTGAAGTAGTAAACAGACAACTCAAAGGTATGAAAGGAGTGATAATTAAAATTGATTCTGATGACTTTGTCCATATTTAAAGTCTTGATAAGGTTCCTTTTCAATAAAAAGTTAAGGCAAAGGAGGTACTCAAGTATTTTGAGAGAGGAGAATCAGTGAGAGTTATATCTGGAACTCACTCTGGTGACTCAGGGATAATTGCTGCGATAGACGGTAAACATGCAATAGTCACAATGGATGGTGGTTCAAGGACAGAAGAGCTCAAAATTCTGCTGAGCAATCTTAAACTGAAAAAAGAAGAGATGGAACATGTTAAGTTAAGAGATTATATAGAAAAAAGTATTATGGACATCAAATATTAAGCAGGTGAGCTAATTCTTTACAATAGCAATTCATCTCTCGCCTATGTCATTTAGGTTTACCCAGAATATCTTAAAGTCTTAAACAGCAGAAACTAGATCGAACATATCAAGCATAGTTCTGTTCAAAGAAAAGTCTTCCATAAGTAATATTTCATCTAGGAATATTAATAATTTTCTTAGGAGAAACTAATATGCTCTGGACAAGAATCATAATACTATTGCTTCAAGAAGTCTCGTCATTATTCTTGATAGATCTCATCTAAATGTAATACATAAAATATAATTTGTTTAGAATAAAATTGGAGAAGTCAAAGGATTTTATAAGGAGTGCTTGTTCGTTTACATAATTCATCATTAGAAGTAAACTAATGGAATCTACGCTGTGAATACCAAAAATGTCTTGAATGCTGGCTAAGAATTTGTCAAGAATGTACAGTAGAAAGATCATTAAGGTTATATCCTTGCTCAAATTGATAGGAGACAAAAGGATCGCAAGATGTCTAGGTCATATGTTGTAATTAACTAGGGACAATACAAGGGCTTAAAGGCAAAAGTCCTTTTTGCTGATGACAACCTAGTCAAAGTAGAAATTACTTCTAACAACATGAAAGTCCAACTTCCAAGACTATCAGTCACTGAAATAAGGGATCCAACAATGCCTCTAGAAGCCAAGAACATCGGCTGCGAGGCAAAATCCTTTGATGAAGCAGCTAAATTAGATATGGGAGCAGATGAGGAGAGATCACTTTTCGAAGCTGAAGAGGATAAAGTTGGCAAGTTTGATTGCTACAATGATGCATAAATGACTCCAAAGAATGATGATAAAGAATGGGGAGATTGTGATGACTTGATTGTTGCAAGAGATTCGACCACTCACAAGGAATGGTGAATATTTGCTATTGTAGCTGACAACTATTTGATTTATAGTTTTAAGATATAAGTTGCTTTTGATTTTTAATTATTTTGATCTTGAATTTTCTACAGTTTTATTTTACATTTTTATAACGGGGTTTTGGGGTTTTGGGGTTTTGGGG